TTTTTACCATATGGAATGAACTGTTTGACGGTCTAAAGATTGCTTTTTTTCTTCACTCTCCACTTCCCCCCTTTAGGTGAAATCGAGAAACAGAACTGGTCAAGAAAGCAGTGAGAATGAAATCCATGTGAATGGTCGTTCTTCCAGAAAGCAAAAGGAAGAGGTCTCATCAGACGAGGAGCAGCCTAACTCAAGGAAGGGACGCTCTAAATTGGAACGTTGGACGAGCCACAAGGAAAAGGATTTCAGTATGACTTCCAAATCATCTTCTTCGAAGAGTAAAGATATGGGCACTTACACAGCCAGTGGCGCTTCCTTGGTCAGCAAACTTCCCGATGGACCTTCAAAACGGGTGGAAGGTCAGACTCAGCCTTTGGCTAAAGAGAGAGACACTGGAGGTGCAGAAGTCAATGATGCTGATACAAAACCAATGGATGACAGACACTTGGATACAGTGGCGAAGTTGAAGAAGCGAAGTGAGCGTTTCAAGCTTCCCATGCCAAGTGAAAAGGATGCCATGGTGATAAAGAAAATGGAAAGTGAACCTTTACCTTCAGGGCAAATTGAAACCCAGCCAGATTCAGAGATCAAACCAGAGCGTCCAGCACGAAAAAGGAGGTGGACTGGAAATTTGAAGTGAGCAGAAGAACTTTTGTTGATTTTTAATCTCTTCGCCAATATAATAATATCTGCTTTGCACGTTTTTTACCGTCACAACATGCATAGTTGGTGACCTGCCATTATCATGTACCGCTTTAATAGAATGACAAAACTGTATCCATGACACAGGCATTTACTTTTTCATTTTTATTACATGTATACATGATTAAATGTAACATCACACTGACCGCTGATGGGGGCTATAACTTCTTAGTAATTTATGGCATCTATGTGTAGTGTATTACTAGTGGATAAAGTACCTTAGGATCTGGCCTTGTGTAAAGATGAAGCTCCTGGAATGGAGGTTATTATTGCTTGGCTTCTTTAAAATTAGAATGTTGAGATATGGAGAATGCTCAGAACCCAGGGAATGAATGAGAATGAAGCTTCGGAACGCAGAGGGAACTGTCGGTGGAATATGATTAGAACTAGATGAATATGGTTGCTATTTTGTTGTATTGTATCTGGATTAGTTTTCTTTTACATTTTTACCGTCCTTTTTAACTTAAATTTTGGATGTTCATTGTGTTTTGAAGCCAATGAGATATAGAAGTAATGAAAGAAGAGGAATTATTGTAAACCAGTGTCCATGTTGAGATTAAGTTCAATCAGTCTGAGTGTTTCTGAATTTCATATGAGAGGAAATCATTGCAGAGCTTTCGAATTTTTGAACTTGCAATGTTAAAGGTATAATCATGTATGTTTGGAATCGATAGCGCAGGATGGGGTTTCAAATAGGTAGTTTAAATCTCGTGAAATTATTCAGCAAATGAGATTTTTTATAAGCTGCGTGATTGCTTATTATTTCACTTTTTTATAACCATTTGAATGCTTAAAGACGTGTGAGTGCAGTCATTTTAGTGAATTCCCCATCTCGGTCTAGCGGGATTATAGTTTTCAATCGTTTTTCTAGTTAAAAATATCAAACACAAGTTTGTTTGCAGTGTGATTGAGGTGCTATGCCTTCACCTCAACGTACAAAGTTCAAACCAAATTTGATCAGTTCTATTGCAACTTGGTTTTGACATGACAACCCTAGTCAGTAACAATCAAACCTACTTTAATGCATTTATTCAAATACAATCGAACAAAACCACGGATAAGTCACGATTCAATTGGCACGATCATACCGACCCAACGTGACCCAACATTAGCCATCAGTATTGTTGAGCGGTCATGTTCGAGAAACAACTCGACTAGCGGTTCTAAATATCCATTTAATAGTGCACTTGTAAGGCTATCAGCTGTCCACGTATATTTTGGACATGACACACAACAGTGTGCTCCCATTCCAAAATCCGATTCACCTTATCTAGATATTCTCCCCAGCTATAAATTTCTCTCATTTTATAACAAAAATAATCTCAAGAAATGGCCAAGAAAGAGATGGAAGTGGTGAAGGGTTTGGATATAGAAAAATACATGGGAAGATGGTATGAAATAGCTTCATTTCCATCAAGATTTCAGCCCAAAAATGGTGTAAATACAAGAGCCACTTACACACTGAATCCTGATGGCACTGTAAATGTTCTTAATGAGACATGGAGTGATGGTAAAAGAGGGTCCATTGAAGGCACTGCATATAAGTCTGATCCCAAAAGTGACGAGGCAAAACTCAAAGTCAAATTCTATGTGCCCCCTTTTTTGCCTATAATTCCTGTCACTGGGGATTACTGGGTTTTGTATATTGATGAGGATTATCAGTATGCTTTGATTGGCCAGCCCAGTCGGAGGTATCTTTGGGTACGTTTTTCTCATATATGAATACTCGTGGGATTTTTAGCTTTTTTGAGGGTTTCCTGATTTGGATAATTTTTTTTTTTTAATATTAACAATTCTGGATGGTTTTAGAGCCTGTTTGGCTGATCTTAAAAAAAGAACTAGTGTTATTTCAAGTATAGAGGCAGCTCTTAGAGGTTTCTTTTATTTTAAAGTGTATTGTACAACTTATTCTTGTTGCTTATAAGTAATTTTGGGTAAAAGCACACTCTTTAAGCTTAGCCAGGCATGCTCTTAGTTGATGTTTAGTAAGTTGGATGAACACAATATTGAACAAAAGAAACTATCACGATGAAATTAAGTGCTTGTTTGTTTCAGATACTGTGCAGGCAGCTCCAACTTGATGAAGAGACATACAATATGCTTGTACAAAAGGCTAAAGATGAAGGGTACGAAATTGACAAACTCCACAAAACACCACAGGCTAATCCTCCACCAGAAAGTGAAGATGCCCCAAAGGACACCAGAGGGATTTGGTGGATTAAGTCCATTTTAGGAAAGTGATTAAGTATAAAATGTGTGAAAATAATGGGTGGAGCCCATTAAGAATAAAAGTGCAAGTAAATCTTGTTTATTATATTAAGCAGAAGCATGCATGATTATACAAGTGTTTGCAGCTTGATCTTTGTAAATTATGTAGTTTTCAGTGTGTTTTGCTTTGCGTGTTGGATTATGAATGACAAGTCTGAATGGGAATTTTCAGTTCTCCTTGGGTTATCCTCATTTTATTTATTTATTTATTTTTTGTGAAAAGGTTTTAAAAGGGACTATGGCAGTATAAAAAGGGATAATTGCAGCAACGGTATCAAACATTTTATTTACTAGTAGACTTAGTCCAAACATTTTATTTGAACCATCTACGGTACCAAATCTTTCATTTTTTCCACCAACGATAACAAAGCTTTCAAAATGTCTACAGCTGAAATTCAAATGGATGATTTCTGTTATTTTGACCGTTGGTTGATCAAATAATTGACTTTGACAATAATGATGATTTTGATTTTAAAAGGCTAAAATGTTAATTTTACATTTTTTAAAATAATAAAATAATTAAATTTGTATTATTGTACTGAAATATTGTAGAAAATAAAAAAAAGTTACATTCGAGCAAATATTTATTTATCATCGATTGGTATATAGGCAAAACGATATAACCAGATCAAATGACTATATTTTTGTTCTGCAATTAACAATTAAGAGAATAGTGACATTTTTTTAAGCAGAAAATAAGACTTTTTCTTTTTTGCATACTTAATTGACTAGAAATTTTTGACACTTCAAGAATTTTATGTTTTACCTACAAAATATATTCGTAGGGAAATGTTCTTATTTGTGGGAAAAAGCTTTTGCAACGGTAAAATTTTGTAGGCAAATTTGTAGAACAAAAACAAAAATAATTTTTTTTCCCAATAATTATTAGCCTTATACAAATAGGTCAAATTTTTTTTGTCTGCAAATGATTTATCTTGCTAATAAAACATATTATAAACTAGAGAGAAAAACAAAGAAAATAGAGACGTCGATGAACTTTTATATATGTTATTGAGAATCAAAGTCCTATATTTATAGGGAAGAATTAAGCTGTAAGGAATATAATAATCATAATAACTAGGATGTAGAGATACATATGCATAGACATTTTGAGTTGTAGTATGTCCAAATTGAATTTAGGAATTTATTGCAGTGTAATGTCGAATATGAACATAGAAATGTCAAATTTATGTATGAAATGTATAATTTCGAAAAGATATAAAGGACATTTCTAATGTTTGAGATTTGTAGTTCGAAACACGCATACGGGCTCGACTCGGCTAAATGAATAATATAAAATATATATATTTATCCATATGCCCGTGTGTATGTATGTATGCATAAAGTAAATGGAATATAAAAATATCTTCGCATTTCTATTTTTGTTACAATCCAAATGCCCCATGAAAATATATCGAATCAAAAGAAAACAAAATTGTAAGAGGGGTCTTTCCGAAAATAATACTGGAAAAAATTAATGGAACAAATAATAACATAATTTAATTATCGATAATCGCTGACAGTATTATCCTTGTCAAAAATCAATATTTATCTGCTACTCATTCAGAGTTACTACACTAATACTATTGTAAATATCGATATACCCACTGTTAGCGACTATTGATTATAATAGTGTCGATGCTCAGTGGCGGACCAAGCAAAAAAGTTCAGCACGGGAGGAAACAGAACAGAAACAGAAAAGAAAAACGATAAAGGAACTGAAACAAAAACAAAAAGGGAAAGCCGAGAAGAAAGCGCCAAAAAAATAGGACAAAACTTTAAAAAGAAAAAGGCCCAAACACTTTTAAATACACAACTCTCTCAGCCCAAAACAAAAGGGCCAAAATAAACTAACTTTTTGAAAGCGCTGCAAGATTGTCTAGCTTTAAACTATCAATCTCTCATAAACTCGTAAATCAATATCTAATCACATTGCCCTAGATTTCAACTCCAACTCCTCCACAGTATCATATCAAATTAAAAGACAAACATAAACAACATAAAATAAATTTTGAATTAAGATGAAAATAAAGCCAATGCAAGTATATATTTATATTGAATTATGTATAGATACAATTTAGAAATATTTTATAAATCATCAAAATTAGGAACCCAAATTTCAAATCACTAATTTATAGGTAAATCATCAAAAGCATCCGAATCACATAATAATCAAACACCAACCAACTAGAATACCAACAGCTCGCTCAAAATTAACAGAAGAAATGAAGGATTATACGTAAACCAAAAAACCTAGAAGCAGGAATCAAATTTCAAACTAATTTTTGCACACAAATTATAGATTCACAAACTAAAACTCAAGCGGAGGAAGTTGGTGGCACGCAGATGGCAGGTCACTAGCAACTGAGCAAGTCCATGACGTGTAGAGAGAATCAAAGAAAGAGAGGAAATTGTATGAAAATTGAAATCAATTCTCCTGAACCAATATATGATGGTTTTGGATTTTGGGCAATGGCTAATCGGCCTAAAACAACTTGAACCCACTAGTTAAAAAAGGGCCAAACCAATTTCAATCCATCTTCTTCATTTGACAGTCTGTCCCTGCGCCATTTCACAAACAAACATCAATTCTGTTGCAATTCCTACGCCATTTCTGTTTTCACGTTGAAAGTAGCATGGCAATCTTCTTCCCGTCTTCTATCTGCAACAGTGATTCGTCGTCCGACGGTATTGAAAACTCCGGAGAATCCAGCACAGGCGACCGCTCCCCCAAATTGGGTGCTGGGTCTGCCCCTGTTGATGCTATTGGCATCAACCACCAACTATTCTTCAATCGCTGATCGCCAACTAAAAAAATTGGTAACACTCACAAAATTTTGTTCTTCAATTTTTTTTATGGTTACCAAAGATTTAGTTCACTTAGCTTTTGATTTTTCATAACGTCAAAAAATTAAATACAACATTTTATTATTTTATTTATTGTCGAAGTCTCGTGGATAAATTAAATTCATTAGTGTTTGTGTTTTAATATTACCAACTATAAAACAATTTTAATCTTTAATTATTCTTTTAATTGCTGTTTGGCCTTCGACATAATTTTCTTTTAAGTGGTAATTGATATTATTTACTCCCAGAGGTAACATATAACATGTTGCAAGCTGTTAAAAAAAAAAATAAAAATCAAAAGCAAATGCGATAGTGAGAATTAATTTGAGCTTCATTTGACGTTAAATAGAATTATGTTCGTGTTGAATGGCAGAATTAACAGAAACATAATAGGATTATTAAATCTAATTCAAGTATCCATCTTTTGACTCGATCGATCAAATTCACCATTTATTAGTTTTTCATTGCGAATGAAATGTAAGTCTTGAGTACAAAACAGTACCAAGAATTTATCCCGAAGATCTAGAAAGACTGTTCGAAAACCAGTCGAAAGACGGGATATTAATACAAAATAACAACTAA